TTTCTAGGCTAAGCGACTTGTAGAAGCACAGTGCGCCAATGAAAATTTGGTGGAGATGTTCTTTGAAGAATAAAACTAATTATTACTTACCGAATCAAGTCTGCTGATGGAATTGTTTTTAATTTAATTCTTGATTATTTATTTCATCATATTATGGAATGCACACTTTTCATTATATTTATTGATTATATACGGTTTTTATACTGTCCGAAATTAATACAAAGGCGTTCCGTAAGAAAATTTACGTATTGATGTACAGAATTGGAATGAAACATCTAACAGTGATAAGATATCAACATATACTTGTTTTTCATTAGAGATTTTTAATGATTCGTGGAAGAGCGTTTTTAAAACGGTGCTGCTTTGGTTCATATCAGTAAACTGAATTTGTTAAGTTGGTTTTGCAATTTTGTAGATTTTTCTAAGGCGACCGTGAGAGTACACGGAGAATAAATAGTGCCATCACTGAAAATGGGGAATCATCTGATTTCATAAATGGCAACATCCTGAAATGTAGTGAAATCTGTACTCGAAGAATCAAAGTCTCCAACAACACTGACATTGCGGTCAATCTGAATAACAATTGTTACTGGAGAAGCATGGCTTAGCTTTTGACTCGCTGCTGCAGATCTAGCAATTGTGCATCTTTTGTACCGTTGATAAGTAGGGGTAGAATTTGTGACAGACCAGATAGTTCTCATATTCCTTTCAGCAGTATTTGCCAGTCATCTTTTCTGGCTACCTTATCAGTCTTCATAATTTTCACCTCCAGCTTAAGTTCCTTTTCCAGCCCAGTTGATAGCACGAAGGGCTACCTAATTGCAAGCACCGCTTCTATGCCTGGTTCATCCGCTGTAAAGGTTTCGGTTTTCTTCATAACTCACGATAGGTTAGTTATTCTTCTGCTATTTTCGCTGAAGAAACTTGAGGTCTTTGAAAGTTTCGTCTGTTGTCACTTCTTGACTTGAAAGCAAAAAATCTCGTTTTATCGCATCCTTAGTGAGAAACTGTTTCATTTGATTAATATTGATTTGGTACTAATTTTAAGTGAACTTTAACTACGACCATATCGTGGAGACCCAATGCAGGAGCGACGCGTGTTGGAAATCTGAAGTACGAAGGTATATCATTTTATAATTGAAGAAACGTGGTGCAGTGGATTTGTAGGCTTCGATCAGCTTATAAGGGAATAGCGTATCATGGCCAGATGTTTCATGAAGTTTGCGTATAAGGGAATAGCGTATCGCTGACGATTAAGCCGTTTGCAGTTGTGATGATCAGCTGTAATACGTAAAAGTCGCATGTTTGTTTAAGTCTGCTTCATATAATTGTGATACCGTAACTTGTGCTGCTATGCGTTTTGGAATGCGAATGGCGTAATTATTTTCTACTAATTAAAGCTGTTTCATCACTGGCCGGAACGTGTCTGGTTCTGTTACCGGAGATCATTGGCAGGCATGTAGTATGGACTTCGACGCTTTTCCCTAATGTAGCCGTTTTATTCGACGAGAGTTTTCGTAATACCCAGTAGCCTTGAATCTACATTTTAGAGTGCCCGTAATAGTTTTCGAAATAGTAGGTGTACATCAAAACAAGTTTGAAAGTGAATGTAGGCGCTTGTTTTGGATTAAAGTTTGCAGATAGTTTATTTATAATTCAGAGTGCACGACGGCCGTTAATTCTGCAGCAAGGAGTGCAACGATTGACGATGGCGTGCCCCATATGTGTAGCGTCAAACTTAGTACAGTTGTCGTTCCGTTTTTGGATTACTACCTCTGATTCTTTGTCGAGGTCGTGGCTCTCTGCTGCATTTTGAAAGATTTTGGTATTAAGGCAAGACCGTACGGAGATCAGTTTGTGACGACCGTTATCATTTAACCTTTGACCATTATGGATACATATTGATTTTGTTTTCTAGTCCGTTTCATCATGACTACCTTCAAGAACCTTCCTTTTCTGCCAACTGGCTTCCGTACGGACTATGTTAATTGTATGCTGTTTTATGAGGTGGTTCTTTCGTATACGGTGTTCAGCAGCGACAGAGTTTTTGCTGTCTAATCTGCTGAGTAAATGTACGTGTTCTCGGTTTTTAACGGATTCTCCAATGTAGGTCTCTCCGCATGAGCAGTTTATCCGAATCAATAACCTTAATATTAAGCCAACAGCCTTTATCAGGAAGATACTTGTTCTTAATAAGAAGAAGTGGAAAAGGTACAGCAGTTAAATTATCATCGCGTCTCCATGGTAGATGTCGAACAGGCCAACCGAACGCAAAGCCCTAGATCGTACGAAGAATGAAAAAATTAAGTCTTTGTGAGTCATAAAAATGAATACTTGCTACACCAAATAAAGCAGTAGCCAATGATGCGAATTACAGTTTCTGCCATGTATGACGGCGTTGTGAGAAGCCACTGCTAATTACCGAAAATTCTGTATAAAGACTGCGTTGAAAATGACAAACTTTTAAAAATTGGAAAGATAAGCAAATTTACCTTTAAACAAAAATTCCAAAATCAGCAGTTCATTAAACTTATTTAATTTTACACAAAGTGTTTTAATAATAAGAAAGTTGGTAAAAGCGTCGTAAGTGCTCAGAAAGATGCTGTTCTGAAAGGCCGAGAATGCAAAGAAAACATCGGCAGCAACAGGGTATGAGAATTCGGTAAAAGTGGTAAGAAGAACATTTAAATCATGATATACATCATTCTGTACATATATGAAAAGCTAAGTGATAAAATGCAATGGCTCGATTGTGTCACGCGAAGTAGAACAAAAGCGGACGTGAGGCGGCAACACGACGGAATCACAAGAACGATGAACGGCCGCAACTGCAGCGTTGGCGACTTTTGACTGACTGCAGGAAGAAAGGCTGACGGGCAAGGTGCCGTCGGTGAGCGACGATGCCTGTCTTTGCAAGTACTCATCAAGTGACGCAGTGCAGAGTTACACCTGGATCGGCTTGTTATCCCTGGATTTTGTCGCCATGCGTGCAGTCGTCGTCAGTCTGTTGTTGATTTTCTTGTCAGAGACGGCGGTCAGCGAGTCGTGCAGTCGAATGGCCTGTGTAAACGACAACGGCTGGTTCCTGTCGACCTTGACCAAGCGCGTCGACTCGCTGTCGGCAACACTGCCGTTTTCTTCGCTGACCGTCGAAAAGCCGGAAATATCCAACCATTCGACTGGGCCTGCAGTCTTTCGATCAGACAGGTCATGAGACACAATCACTGGTCGCTGGTCGGTGCTCAACGTTGACCTTTCGGAGAAACTGAAATTCGTGTCCACACCTGAATCATGGCCCCCGCCGGTGCAAAATCGAGGTTTAATCGTACTAAATGCCTCTTTAAGCATCGTCTGATAGCGTTCGTTGCCAGGCGATGGCAGCCTCGGTTGGGCGATGTCCGAACAGCCGCTGGCCGCCGCCGCCGTTCCGAAGCTGTTCGTCTCTGATGTGTCGTTTTCATTAAACAGATTGCATTTCGAATCGTTCGGCGATCGCAGACTGACTAAGTCCCTGTTGGACATTCCGTCGAATGCGTCTGACGTCAGTATTGCAGACATCTGTGATGACACGTGACTGACATTATCTGGAAACTGACTGACGTTCGCCTGAGGTTTGTACATCTGTAAAGTAAAAGAAGCAAAAATATATAAATACGTTAAAAATATTACAGTAGAACAAATTCCCACCAATAATTAAAGCAACAAATGATTGGAAGAGATCAATTTCTGTCGAGTGCTTTATTTTTTATTGTTAGGACAAAAGTTGGTTATTCGACGCTAATTAGTTCTTGAATTCATTCTGTAAAACAAAATACGCCAGAATGATCAAAGACCATCACCAATCAGAAAAGAGAGGCGTGATCGGACGCCAGCTGCTTGCTTCATTGTCCCAGGCATATTCATTATCACTGTGAGCCGTCGACCTGTTTCAACTTAAGGGCTCTTATTAGGACCACCACAATTGTTCCGAATGAAAAATAATCTAGATACCATCATCAAAGTCAGTGCCTCTACCTGTATCATGTATTTTTTATGATCTCTGCAGTTATACTGAAAAGCAGCAAAATACGGTGCATTATTACATAATCAACAATTCAGGTGATTAATGTGGCGACAAACCAATACTACATTTTGGAACATGTACACTGTGAGACGTTTGCCAGTTCAAATTCAATGGCTTTTATTAAAGCCACTACAAAAATTGATAAGTTATATCGAGAGACAAAAGTGCTAAACAGTTTCACAATAATCAACTCAAATAGAGCATTGCGTTTGTAGTTTCGTAATCACAACAACTGCTTATTATTTCGCAACACAATGCATTGATCTATCTTGTACTAAAATAATACCGGGCATTTTTAATGAGCAACTTGGAAGTTTGACGGAAAAATGAACTCCGGCCTGTTTTCAAAGATTTTCGCTGTTTTTCTCAAAAATTATAAAATAAAAACTCCAAATATTCTCTTGATGCAAACGATCATTTAACTATGAGTGAAAAGTCACCTTCACGATGGCTTGAACAGGTGTCGTGAAATCCTCCCGAAAGGAAGGCGAAGCAACTATTTCTTGCCCAGCCGATCGGCAGAAGTCCTCGTAGACATCTAAGATTAACTTTGTGCAAATATACGGAACGAAGCTGCTTTACACTCCGATTGTCCTATGTCGAAGTACATAAGCTTGCATAGGATCAGGGACGATAGAAACACTGTCTGATACGTCTGCCTCTACCGTCGAAAGAGACAAGCGGTAATCATTTAATGGAACAAAATAATTTGGTCTTCCTGTTATAAAAGTTACCGCTTCAGTGGCTCAAGACACAAGGAAACTGACTGAAGGCAGCAGTTGTTACAACTGTCGATGCTTTAGCCAATCAACATCAGCCATCTTAAGGGCCAGACAGTTCTTTTCTCAAATCTTTTCTTGTCTTAATAATTAACATCGGTAACTTATAAAACTAGTTTATCGCAAGCTACTAACACAGTTCAGATCGAGAGAAACAGGGTCTTAACGATAAATGATCAAGAAACGAAAAAAACCACCAACCTCGGTGTCGATCCTGAGTCAAGCCTTGTAGCACATATCTAATAGTGTAGTAATGAGTAGTGTAGAAGCGTGTGCAAAAAATAAAGGAAGAAAAATAAACAACATAAATATTGCGATATGAAATAAAGGCTCAAAGCTGGTTCCTGGGAGAAGTTCGGTGAGGTGTTGAAGTCGAATTTCCACACGGCAAACAAAGTATTCTAGCAGACCCTCCGCCGGCTCCGAGGTGAAAAGAAGGGCAGTCTCAGAGTCTTGAAGGAAAGATCTGGACACCCTCTTACCAAAGATGATGACATTCTTCGGCGATGGAGGGAGTACTCTGAGGAACTCATTAACCCCGCGCAACCGCAGGAAGATTGGCCTGTAGAGCAGAAGGTTACGGATATTACTATCTCTGTAGAAGAACTTACAGAATCTTTGAAAAGCGTGAACGGCTGCTGGGACTGATGAAATTCGCCTTGAGATGCTGCTCAAGGCATTAGACGCACAAGGCATGTGCTGGCTAACACGCGTTTGTCAAACTGCGATGAGGAATGCTCAAATTATCGGGGCATTATCTTACTGAGCTTCTCGTGTAAAGTCTACGCAATATTGGTGGAAAGGAAGTGCCGCCGAATAACTGACTCTTGAAACAAGAAGAAGTGTTCCGGCCCGGACGAAGCACGTCTGATCAGATATTTACTCTACGCTGGATTGTTGAGGAATCGTGGGAGTTCCCCCGTCGGTTGTATATGTTCTTTGTGAACCTAGAGATAGTCTTTGACTAGATTCTGCAGAACTGTCAGATGGGCTAGCCTGCAAACATATGGGATTGATGGCCAGTT